TCCCTCCTTCCTCCCTCCCTCCTCCTCCCCCCTCCCCCCTCTTCCTCCCTCCCTCCCTCCCTCCCTCCCAGCCGCCGCCCCGGTTCGAGAGGTTTGGGTGCCGTACCAGGTACGGCGACCTCTCCGGGGTGGCAGCCACGCGCGCTGGCCCGCGCCCCAGTCCCGCGCGATCCGCGTTTGGGCGGCCCGCGGCTGGCCGCGCACGCTCTCGCGGCGATCCTGCTGGCCCCGCTGGCGCTGGACCGCCCAGGCGCGGGCGCGCCGAGCCAGCGTGGCATCGGCGAGCGCGCCTGAGACGTGCACAGTCGCGCACGCTGCTGCGGGTCGCGGCCGCCGCGCGCCTCCTTGCCGCACACCACAGCACCATGGGCAAGGGAGGCAGCGGCAAGGGCCGCGCGGGCGCGACGGGCGGCACCGCCCCCCCGCCGTGGCAGGGCGTGCCCCCGCCCCCGCCGCCAGGCTGGTGGTGTGACGACTGTGGTGGCTTCAGCGGCCCACAGGAAAGGCTATGCAGGTGCTGCTACCCAGGCCCTTCGGGCCCAGTCGGAGGAGGCGGGCATGGAGGCCCACAGCAGCAGCGACAGCAACAGCAGCAGCAGCAGCAGCAGCAGCAGCAGCAGCAAGTGCATCATCCCCGCCGGCGGAGCTCGACATCACCAGGGACGCCAACCCGCCGACGCTCCGCCTCCCGCCGCCGCAGGCGTGAGCGCGTGAGGCGAGAGGAGCGGCCGCGGTCGGGCTCGCGTGTACGCTTCGCAGATGAGCCCGAGCCCGACCCTGACGGCAATGGCGTCTCGGATGCCAGCGAGGAGATGCGCAGCCCAGCACTCGGGATCCTCCCCGCGCTGCCGCAGGATGCGAGGCAGCACCCACCGTGGGTTGACCCTCCCAGCGACGAGCGCGCCTTGGCGGCGCACAGACGAGCATTGCGGCAGATTGCAGCTGCGACAGGGAAGCGCCTTCAAGCTTCCATCGACCTCGGGGCACCAGAGGAGATCATCGCAAGTCAGAAGCTAGAGTACAGCGTCCAGCTATGCATGATCATCACGGCCCGTGCGCCAGGTGAGCGCTGTGACCGCCAACGAGCCTACGTCGCCAAGGCTCTTGGCAAGTTCGAGCGTGCCCGTGAGGCGGTCGACAAGGCGCAGGAACGACTACAAGAGGCCCAGTCGAAGTGCACGCAGCGCGAGATGGAGCATGACAGGGCCAAGATGCTGCTGGACCAGCTCGAGGCGATGCAGGCAGGCCATGCGGCTGGAGGAGCATCTGGCGACGTGGACATGGGCGCGTACGTGGAGGGCGCGCGGACGCCTGAGGCTGGAGGCGTGACGCCTCAGACGCCTCAAGGCATGCCTGTGCAGCTGGCGGCCATCGCGGAGCTCCAGAGCGGCCAGGCGTCGCCCACGGCCCAGCTCAGCAGCCTGACGGCAATGCTGACGACGCTGCAGACGGCGATGGAGGCGGCGAGGACCCCAGCAGCTGCCGCCGAGGTCCCAGTCCCACCTGAGGGTGGCGGACCGCAGGTCAGGCCCTACGCTGGCCAGCCCCAGCGACTTGGCCGCATGCCGACGGCCGAGGAGATCGCTGCTGCCGCACCTGCCTCCGAGGCCGCGGTAGCGAGCCCAGTCGACGGAGCAGCTGGCCCTGCAGCTTGCGCCGGCCCCGCGCCGCCCGCGCCCGCGGCAGCTGACGGTGCAGCAGCGGAGCCTGCAGAGGCCGACGGTGAGGACCTCGCAGCGGCGCGTGCTCGCGCCGCCGCCGCGCGCCGCGCCAAGCGCGAGCAGGAGCGTGCAAGGCGCCCGCCGGGCCAGCCGCTGGACGCCGTAGCCAGGCAGCAGCAAATGGGCGGGCATCGAGGCCGTGGCAGCATCCCGGCCCCAGCTGGACGTGCAGACATCGCGGCGGAGTTCGGCGACCATGAGACGGAGGCGGCGGCGAGGCGGACGCGGCACAGCCGCGACCGCAGCCCCCGCAGGCCCGACGGCTTCGAGGTGGTCGGAGGCGCTGGTGCGGAGTCGACGGGAGAGTCGACGCTGGGGTGATGCAGCAGCGCTGGCGAGCTGCCAGGAGTGAGATGCCTGAGCCATGCATAGCTCGCTTGTGGCTGCCAGCGCAGCCGACTTAGTGTCATGACCTCTTGATCAGACGGAGTCCGATTTGCCTCCCCCCCCGCTCCGGACCACACTTGGCCTCCCCCCTATGCCTGCTCCAGTCCAGCTCACGGATCCTGCATGCTGAAGTCAGACATAGACGCAATGCGCGCCTTGCCGCATGCGTAGCTCCATGGACGGTGCAGCCAATTTTCGGCAGCAGCGTCACGGACTAAGTAGAAGGAGGGGTGGAGGTTAGTCGGAGGGTCAGGTGGGTTCACGATTACTCTCTTGCCGCCAGCCGCCCCTTCCTCTGCCGCACTGTTGTCTGCAAACATGAAGTTATATATGTGGTGTTAAACCTACCGCCATACTAGGAATGTAGCAGGTGCAGAGGATTCAGGCCCAGGCCCCTGGGCTAGTTCACGGAACTCCCTATTCAGATTGTGGGAACCATTTTGGGAGTTTCGATAGGGCGCTGAAGCTTCTATGCTGCTTGCCGCGGTCGTGTCCTGCCGCGCGCGCAATTCTATGGACGACGCAGCCAAAGCTTGGCAGCGACATCTTTCGTCAGTAGAAGGATGGTGTGGAGGGCGTTTCGGGTTCAGGAGGAAGGGATTACGAGCGAGGAAGCGACCCGCTCCTTTTTATCGCTATCTCGCTCTCTCTCCGCCAGCTGCCCCACCCCTCGCCGGTCCGCTCATCATCGTGCCCGCCCCGCCCGCCCCCTCGTGCTGAATAGTCAGTCAGATTGCTACGACGTGCCTAAGTGCGTGTCAGGTCCAGGTGGCCATGGTAATCATGCAGCTAGAGCCGACGGGGCAGCTCCGCACCCCCCCCCCCCGCCCGAGAGGTACGGCCGACGGCCGCCAGCCTGCTAGCGAGCATGCCCCATCTTTCTTGTCGCATGCTACCGTCCTCGCTTTCTCCTCGAGGGGTTGGTCGGGGCAGGATCGGACAGTCAGCGCGCGCACTCTCTTGCGCACAAGTCAGCGCCATTTTGGCAGCTGTTCTATGTGATTTCTGGGCAAGGAACAAGCGACGCAAAGGCGACAGGACCACAGTCTCCCTTTGCGAAGTCTGCAGCCTTGCCCGTCCCAGTCCCCAGTCCCGGCACATGCCGCGCTTTCAGTCACTGCCAAGCGAGCATGTTCGCCTTTCGCCCCTGGCACAGGTCGAGCCACACAGCTGTCAGTGAACGCCGCACTCCTGCGTGTCTTAGACCGCGGTGCGTCTAGCGCATATGGGATTGGAGTGGTGGGCGGGATTATTTGTAGGTGGTGGGATCGGGTTGAGGGAGTTTCTTGGCGCGGCCAGTGCACACTTGCGAGCGATGCTCATTTGCAGAGCCTGTGTGTCATGCAAGGAGGAGCGGCGAGCGAGAAAGAAAAAGGATTAGGGCCTAGGTGTGCGTTCCAGCCTTACCCACTCCTCGCTTTCTGCTTTGGCATTTCCCTCCTCCTCCTGCCCCCGACTCCACAGTGCCCAGGCCATCGATGCAAGCCCCTTTAGTGTTTGCCGGCCAAGTCAAATATTGTTGAGGCCCTCCACCCGAATGCCCTGAACGGGCACAGCAGGCCGCTGTCGCAGTTTTCGCATTTGCCGCCCAGCTGCCCAGCTGAAGTGTGGGGGATTGTATGGAGGTGGGAGGTTTATGGAGGCACGGGTTGGTGTACTCGTATTGTATACTGCAATCCTTAGGTGCCCGTGCGATCTCACTATTTCAGTTTGCATCGCTAGTCGCAGCGCCATCATAACTCGACAGGCTAGTTGCCTCAACGAGCAGGCAATCCAAGTCCCTCCCTCCCTTCTCTCTCCTCCTCCTCCTCCTCCTCCTCCTCCTCCCTCCTCCTCCTCCTCCTCCTCCTCCTCCTCCTCCTCCTCCTCCTCCTCCTCCTCCTCCTGCTCGTCCTCCCTCCTGCTCGTCCTCCTCCCTCCCTCCCTCCTCCGTCCCCTCCCTCCCTGCCTCCCTCCCTCTCCTCCCCTCCTCCCTCCTCCCTCCCTCCTCCTTTCCCTCTCTCCCTCCCTCCCTCCCTCCTCCTCCCCGCCTCCTCCTTCTCCCCGCCTCCTCCTCCTCCGCCCTCCTCCTCCTCCTCCCTCCTCCTCCCTCCCCCTCCCTCCTCGTCCGCCTCCTCCTCCTCCTCCTCCCTCCTCTCTCCTCCTCCTCGTCCCCTCCCTCCTCCTCCTTCTTCTCCTCTCCCTCCTCCCCCTCGCCTTCTCCTCCTCCCTCCTCCTCTCCTCCCTCCTCCTCCTCCTCCTCCCTCCTCCTCCTCCTCCTCCTCCTCTCCTCCTCTCCCTCCTCTTTCCTCTCCTCCTCCTCCTCGTCCTCCTCCTCCCTCCTCCTCCTCCTCCTCCTCTTCCCTCCTCTTCCTCCTCTCCTCCTCCTCCGTCCTCCTCCTCCTCCTCCTCCTCTCCTCCTCCTCCTCCTCCTCCTCCTCCTCCTCCTCCTCCTCCTCCTCCCCCTCCTCCTCCCTCCGCCTCCTCCTCCTCCTCCTCCTATTCCTCCTCCTCCTCCTCCTCCCCCTCCTCCTCCTCCTTCTCCTCCTCCTCCTTCTCCTCCTTCTCCTCCTCCTCTTCCTCGTCTTCCTCCTTTTTTCTCTTCTCCTCCTCCTCCGCCTCTTTCGCCTCCTCCTCATCCTCCTCTCTCTCCTCGTCTCTCCTCCCGCTCCTCCTCCATCCTTCCGCCTGTCCTTCTCCTCCTCCTCCTCCTCCTCCTCCTCCTCCCCTGGATGAAGGTGTCTCTCTTCTTGTTCCTCGTGCTCGTCTCCTCCGGCGCCGCGTCGTGGCTCGTCTGGCTCTGTCCGGCCCTGCTGGTGTCACACTTCGTGCCGATGTCGCGGCAATCCTCCCGCTCTGTCCGCGGGCCGCCCGTGCCCCCCCCCCCCCCCGCGCCCCCCTGCGTGCGCCGAGGCTTTCACCCGGCCCGAGATCGAGGACCCCGGGGCCCCTGCCGCTCCGCCAGGGGCCGCGGGGCCGCCGCCGGTTCGACGCGAGCCCGGGCTTTTAGATTCGGGCAAGTTTGCTGGCGTGGCCTTCGCCCTACCCCTCCGCAGGGCTCGTCTTGATGCCTCCGAGTCGATCCGATGCGGTTTCGATGGGATTCGATTCCGATTCGATTCGGCTTCAGATTCCGACGTGGAGTCCGATTCCTCAATGAGGCATTTTTTTCTGCCGATGTCAGCCGATTCGACTTCTCCCGACTCGGCTGCCGGCGTCCGCCGATCCGATCCATTTTGATTGTCGCTCCGACTTATCGATTCGATTCTGGGCTCTCTGCCCCCCCCACTCGCCACTCTTCAAACGAATACTAGCGTGCAAGTGCCTTTCGACTTGCGTGGTTCTCGCAGGTGTAAGGTGTTTGCGGCTTGCTTCAGGCTCCCCCCCTCCATGTAAGTCAGTTTGCTGGAGTCAAAAAAACACAGGCTCTATGGCGGCGCGCGAGGGGGTCGACTAGACGTGAGAGTGTCTTTTCGCCGGAGTGACCTTTGATGCGGGCCCAATGGGTGCCCCGATCGCCGAGCGCGAAGCGGTAGTAGCGGCTTGCACGCCCAGGTTTGGCCACCCCGCATCCCCTGTTGGGCCGCGCACCAAGGGCCACTCTTGCCCAGGGTCACTCTTGCGCGAAAAAAGGGGGGGAGCGAGAAGGAGAAGGCTCTCTCAGAAGGCGGCGGGGCTGCTCGGAAGCCCACCGGCCTGAAGCTTTCCCGTGTCTTCGGGGGATGATTCGAGAATTTCTCAGACGCCCGGGGGATTTCCGAGGCTTCTGGGAAGGCCCGCCCCTTCTCAGGGGGGAAGTAATCACACAGACACAATGAATCGTCGCTTCCCAGGAAAATCTGGGAAGATACGGGAAGTGGGGGGGAAGACAAACACCCAGAAAGTATGAGAAAATAGGGATTTGTGTGTGTGTGTATTTCTTTGTGTGTCCCTGGGCCCCTTTACCTTCTCCTTTCCCCCTGGGCTCGCCGCCGATTGATGATGACCCTCGGGAAAAGTAGGGGACGGAAAAGGCACCGCTGCCGCTGGCTCTCGCCCTTCTGGGCGCCTTTTTTGGGCCTCCTGCCCGGGAGAGGCCCTCGCCGCCGCGGCGGGATCCGTCGCGACGCCCGGGACGGAGGGCGCCCGGGACGCCCGGGACGGGTCGGACGCCCGGGGCGGCGTCCGCCGGGGGAAGACAGAAACCCAGAACATATGCGAAAATATAGGGGGTTCATGTTATTTGTGTGTATTTCTTCGGCTGTGCCGCAGCCCCTGACGTTCCTGGCGCCGCCTTCGCGCTGCCGAGCCGCGTCCGCAGGGCAGAGAGGACCACGAGGGGGAGGGCAGCGAGGAGGCGAGGACGGCGAGGAGGACGACGAGGAGGGCCACGAGGAGGAGACAAGGAGGAGGCGAGGGCAGCGAGGAGGACAGCGAGGAGGAGGCAACGGGGAGGAGACGACGAGAATGAGGACAGCGAGGAGGCGAGAGACTCCCGGGGGGGGCGTATGCCGCGCGCCCCTGGCCTGGCCCCCCCCCCCACACCCACTGCTGGAGGACGCGTGTTACCCCAATGTGTTTGAATGTGTGTGTGTGTGTGTGTACAGTGCCGTTTTTAATACATTCTTCGCGTGCAGATCATGTGTTAAACATGCAGGGATCTAGTACTAAAAACAACGATGGGTTCATGCATAGATTTATTCCTAAAATTCATCATGCATTAAACATTATATATGTTTAAATCCTATGTATTCAAAACTGCCCCGTACCCCTTTCTCGGACACTGGAACATATACATTACCAGTGGCGTGCTGTTTTTTTAGTCCCAGGACTTTGTTTTGAGGGTCGGGGGCGGGGTCGGGTGTTGGTGTGGTGTATACGGTATACGTTTTGATCCGTTCTCCCCCGGGAGGCAACGAGCAGCGTATACACCCGGATCACGCATAAACCAGGATCTGTTTCTCTGTGCGAATTTCAGTGCAGGGCCAGAAAAAGCGGCGGTGTATAGAGTGCGGTTCCACCGAAAGCGCGCAGTTTGAGCCAGCTTTTCGTTACATCGGCGGCGTCACATCGGAGGGCTGCGGTGGGCAGGCACACGTTTGCCACGACACGCCTTCTGAGGATCATCATCGCCTGGGTGTGGTTTGCGATCGGCGCCGATTTGGCTTGGGGGGGCACCACGTTGTCCTCGTCGGGCCTCGTCGGGGCGCGGCGGAGAACTCTGGCTAGGTCCTCGCCCGTCCCCCAAGGTGCGGGTTGCGAACCGCACCTTTTGCAAACCAAACTCCTCGGAGTCGCCGAGGTTGGTCGTCGGTCGGGCGGTCTGTCGGCATGCTTTGAAACAGAGCAGAACTAATAAACATACAATTTCGGAGCTCCGCACGGAATTCTTGGATCTACGCTGGAGTCCGTTGGCAGCGCCCCTGGCGCCACCTTTGGCGCGCTCCGCGCGCCAGGGAGGGGGTCCAGCGCCCAGCAAAAAAATCCGCGCGTATCTCCGAAAGTTTTTGCGTATGTTTTTTCGCGGTTGTTGCTGGTCGTCGTCGGTCGGTCGGTGCGTCGGTTTGTTGGGGCGCCGGGGCGAGTCGTCGCTGGTCGTTGGTCGGTCGGTCGGTCCTAGTCGTCGTCCAGGTTTGGGAAGGGGCGGAGCAGGGGTGGAGGGAGCTGCTGGGAGGAGGGGGAGGAGGGAGCAGGAAGTGGTGGCGGGAGGGGTTTTGAGGAGCTCTCGGAGGTTCTGGATGCTTTTGGGAGGCATAGTTGGGGAGCGTTGAAGAAAAATGGCGATGACGTAACTCCCTCGTGCTTCCCCGGCATCCCTACTCCCCTCTGCTCCTTCCATTCAGCTCTCCTCCTGCATCTCTGTATTGCTTCCACATCATCCTCGCTTCCTCCCCCTTCATCGTGCTCGCGTGCTCTTTCTCTCGTCCTCCCCTGCTTTGGTGATGCTCTGGGGGCCTGGGTCCATGGGTGTTTCGGACGACGCATCCAAAGCCCAGCCGCGACAGCGGTTGCGTCCGAGTACGGCTGAAGCAGCTCGAGAAGGAGGAGGGGGAGCAGAACGGGGGAGGAGGAGGAGGAGGAGGAGGAGGAGGGGGAGGAAGAGGAGGAGGAGGCGGAAGAGGAGGAGGAGGAGGAGGAGGAGGAGGAGATGGAGGGAAGCCGGTGTCGGGCCGAAGGTCGAACTACATTGAACAAGACACATTACCAACAAACAAGTAGCAACGAGCGACCTACCGCGCGTTTATCTTGCGATGAAGTTCAAGGACGGCCCCCTCTGGATCGGGATCCC